CTGTGAAATTTTGTCAGCTGGCCATTCCATGTTGGTTTTCTTCTTGTCAATTCGATGTCCAAGAATGTAATCTATATTCACACACACACCTCCTAACTTACATTTCAAGTTGAAAATTTTGATCTCAGTTTGTTTCCATGCTCATTTTGTTCACACCTGTAATTCGTTCTAAGCCTCTTGTAATTCATATCAAGTTGCAAAAAATAATTGTCACCTTTTATTCGCCTTTAAAACTATTTCTCCACTTATCAAATATTAATTTTGCATACGTTGTAACTTTAGATTAGATAATCCTATGCAATCTTGTCTCTAAGCCCCTTGTAATCTTCTATATTCGTACCTTCAAACTTTCATATCAAGTTGAAAATAATTATCACCTTTGATAGAATTCAGTGTGACTCAGAGGTAGGACTAAACACATTACACTGGTTACTGCCGACTAGTGTTCAATCAAAAAACATCTATTCATTGTTATTTTTTAGACTCTAAAACAATAAGAATTAATAGTGTGAAATATTCCCATATCATGAAGTAAAAGTCAATCTGAACGAAGGATATTCTTTTCAATAATTTCTCTTCAGATTACTAATAATAATAAGTAATAGTAATATTATCTCTTTTCCAGGGAATATACCTCCCTTTATTTCATTTCACATATTGGTTATTTCATGATGAACCGCTTATCGCAGTCCTACTATCTCCTCCTCTTTAATACCATATTACTTTGTACTAGCCACTCCACTCACCTGACACCTTTCATAACCTTGAACTGACTTGTCAATTTTTTCCTACCCCACACTGAATGAATCTATTATGACTAATCACCATCATTGTCACCCATTTCGCAATATTTTGTAATTGAATTCAGCCCAGAGCACGTTTATTACACTCTGACACCCCATGACTAATGCGTTAGTCTAGGTAAAAATGTATCCACAATATAACTGGCCATTATTTTAACGACAACAATGGCTTCAGGAGCAAGTAGAATCTCCAGAACGCATTAATGGTGAGAACAGGTGACGACATAGCTCCTCTATTGAGAAACATATTATAGAGGAGACAGGACATAAAAGTGATTATATTATTATATTATTGTTCCCTTGGGTTCCTAGTGGAACATACGGCTTCAACTACACGCCTCCACTTGTTTCTGTCTTCTGCTGTACTTTCCACCTGCATCCATGTTAGTCGATTCTGTTTCAACCCCTCTTCACATGATCTCCTCCATGTCACCCTTCGATGTCCCACTCGCCGCTTCCCTTTCGGGTTCCACTTGAGCGATGGCCTGACGCGCGATGTCATCCAGCGGCCTCCTCAGCGAGTGGGTGTCCAATCCATCTCCACTTTCTCCTGCATATTTGTTGGGCGATTGGTTCTTGTTTCGTTTGTTTGTTTGTTCGCATAGTTTCTTGTTGGTTCTTGTTCTTTTTCTTTCCGGCCATCTGATCTTCAGTATGATGCTAGAGAAGACAGCTGTTGTTGTTGATAAAGGTCTGCAACAGGCTGTTGGAAATATTCTTTGTGACCCGCCGCCAAGTTTCTGATCCATCCGTATAGAAGAACTGACTGACTTGACGTTTGTATTGAAAATCCGAATTTTGTTGTTGAGTGTTACTGAGTGACGAAGATTTCCAGATTGGTTTCAGGTTGATGAATGTGTTTCTCGCCTTCCTGATTCTCGATTTGACATCTTCGTCTGTTCCTCCTGTAGTTGAGACAATGCTCTCTAGATAAGTGAATGAAGTAACCTCTTTCAAATCCCTCCCATTGATGGTGATTGTCGCTGGATGTTGCTGTTGTTGTTGTTGGTTTTTATTTTCATGACCTCCATCTTGTCTATGTTCACCTGGAGTCCTGTCTTTGCTGCTTCTTCGACATAAAAGTGATGCTTACACGTATTTTAAACCTGTCTGCAAAACATGTTTTGGGGAGGGCGTATCCTAAACTTTGTGGAAGCTAGCTAGCTAGCTAGCAATTATGAAGTTTCAACCACCTTTGTGAGATCAAAGCAACAATTCGTCATCAGAGTAAACCTCCCCCCTCCCTTGGTAAATTTTGTTCTGATACCATGCACTATTACCTCTGTTATTTGGTTTAGTGATCTTGATTGTTAATGTCCTTTTAACTTGACCTAAGTCCATTGGTGGATGGTGACTAGCAGTGGAATCCAGGATAACGCGCATTTCGTCCTATTTGGAGCTCGTCCGCCAGCTGGATGTACTTGCATTCCACAGTGAGTGAGAGATGGTGTTTGCAGCGGGCTTCGAACCCAGTGGCCATAGTTTCAAACGCCAAAGCGTTATTCCCTAGATCAATTGGGCCACCACGTCTTGTGCAACGGGTCTTATTAATTATTTAATTCAATTTTGGGTTTTTCTGGATCCCACTGCTAGTTACCACCCACCAGTTGACTTCAATTTACACGACCAGACATCATCGTCGAAGCATCTGCACAAGGAGCGGATACGTCAACCTGAGACTAAGCACTTCGGTCCAGTCACAATCGACGGGAAAATCTAAAATGAATTAAAAATAATTGACCTAAGTCCATTTTCTCACCTCTTAGCTCTTTGATATAAGAATAAAACCTGGGCACTGTGGTAAAGTGTAATTCCATTATGGGTAAATTTTATTTTGATAAAGTCTCACAGTGTTGTTATACAGTAATGTTTACTGATGACCAAGTTTCGAGCACAATTTATTACTGCTCATAATCATATCAAGGTAATCACACGACTTCCTAAATTCATTTATATAATTTCCGTTGCTTTTCACTTGATTCTCACTTGATTTGATTGGTAGTATTATTTTCCATATTTCAGGTATGAGTGATGAATCATTCCTATTGCATGTGTTGGGTGTAGATTCGATGAACAAGGATTCAGTAATCAACCTCTCTCTCCACCTACCTAGATTACTTTTTAGAATTTTAACCCTCTCCCACCCTATTGTGGGGTTGTGTGCTAATGCATGCATTGCAATTGCTGAGCTTTTTTCTAAATTACTTATCTTCTCTGGGTGAACCATTCCTACCTTAGCTAGATTCATATGTTCCGACAATCTGACTACCCCGGACCTACTAGTTTAACCAGTGTAGTTGACCTCACAGTCATTGCAGGGTATTTTGTAAATTATATTATATTGTCTAATAGGGTCATCTGGGTCCTTTAACCTACAGAGCTTGTCCGACCTGAGTGAGTTTGTAGGTTTAAATGCCACTCAAATTCCTGCTTTATTTAGAATCCTACGTAGGGTCTCAGATGTCCCCTCTTTATATGGTATAACTGTAGATGACTTATATTCTCTCTTATTTATGTTATTATCACTAGTTTCACAATTCTTTTTATTTTGCTTTTGGCGTTTTTCAATCTTCCTAATGAATTTTATAGGATAGTTAGTTATTTGACACCAACGCTTCTCCTATCTGTTTTATTTCATCATTTAGGTCTTTTCTTGTGCTACTTAGTGCTATTGCTCGGTTTGTTAGACACTTAACTTAACTAAGCCTGCCTTAACAGATAACTAAGGATGAGATGAATTAAAGTCTAAATATCTATTAGAATGCGTTGGTTTTTCATAAACGCTAGTGTGTAGTTTACCTTCTTCTATTCTTTTTATTTCACAATCTAACATCACAGCTAAGTCTTCTTGTTTATTTTCGGCTTCAAATGTGAATTTTATTCCCTCCACTAGTGAGTTTATGTGTCAAGAAGCTAGAGATATGTTCTGTTTTTAACACTGTGAAAGTGTCATCCACATATCTCCACCATATTTTTGGAGTAGGATTAAACGTATTAAGTGCCATATTTTCCCAGCTATCCATAAATATATCTGCTACGATCGGGGATATTGGTGATCCCATTGCTACACCTTCAGTTTGTCAATATATTTTACCTTGGAATTTAAAGATACTGAATCCTTGTTCATCGAATCTACACCCAACACATGCAATAGGAATGATTCATCACTCATACCCGAAATATGGAAAATAATACTTCCAATCAAATCAAGTGAAAATCAAGTGAAAAACAATGGAACTATATAAATGAATTTAGGAAGTCGTGTGATTACCTTGATATGATTATGAGCAGTAATAAATTGTGCTCGAAACTTGGTCATCAGTAAACATTACTGTATAACAACACTGTGAGACTTTATCAAAATAAAATTTACCCATAATGGAATTACACTCTTGGCTCTTTATTATTTCCACATGTATATATCCCTAATGACAAGTCCCTGTTGTGTGTGTGATCAGACTGTTCGAGATGTGTTGCGCAAACACAGCATTACACAATTCAGACAAATTTCTGTCTTCTTGCTGCTTTGTCTAAATTCACAAAGGGGACTAATTGTTTCAAACAAATAATATTATATTTTATAATTGTAAGAACATGAATAGGCGAAAATTATTAGAAAGAATATTGCATGGAGGATTTCATCATGAGCTGACATCAGTTAGAGAACCACTGGAAAACCTGGGAGTACTGGACAGCTGTTTTGTCCTAGTTTGGGACTCTTCAGCAGTACGCGCCCGCCAGGATTCGAACCCATGACCTTCTGGTTACAAGGCGAGCTCGTAGACCATTGAGCCACTGGGACCCGATCCAATGGTCCTTGAATTCTAACTTCTGCCAATTCAAGGACCATTGGATCGGGTCCCAGTGGCTCAATGGTCTACGAGCTCGCCTTGTAACCAGAATGTCCTGGGTTTGAACCCTGGCAGTCGAAGCGTCCTGTAAAGTGTCCCAGACTAGCACGAAACAGCTGTCCAGTACTCCCACCTGGTTTTCCAGTGGTTCTCTAACTGATGTCAGCTCATGATGAAATCCTCCATGCAATTAAGCAAAATCCCTACCAAACCAATACTTGAAAAAGAATATTCTTCGTCTAATATATAATAACCAATCAAATTTTAACTATCGTCATCCAATCATTAGCCTCCTTCTAGGTCAGTTGTATGAGTAACAAATTTAGAACAAATTTGCTCTAACACATTTGCTTGCTCTTCAGTGATTTCTCTATCTCTAAATTTCTATTCTAATAATAGTGGATTACTTCATTTCTGTGCATCTCATGTAGAAAAAAATTGTTAAACAAACAAATTTAGAACAATGCGGTTCTCGTGACATCATGAAAAAGGACATGCATGCAATTGCAAATCTTCTCCTTCTTTTGTATTTCGCCCAAAAACGTCGAGTGATTCCATGCCTGAATGAATAAACTTTATCCAGTACAAAATGGCTACTGAAGCTGATCATCAAATGAGTAAGTCAAAGAATGTTGTGCATATTTTAAGTTGATTCAATTAAATTTAAAAACAACAACATTGATTGCCATTTGCAAAGCCACAGGATCTCATCATGAGCTAACATCAGTTAGAGATTGCTGGACAGCTGTCTCTGTTATTCTAGTGCCTGAGACTCTTCGTCAGTAAGAACTGACCGCCAGGGTTCGAACCCAGTGCCCCCCCTCGCCCGGTTACAAGGCGAGGTCGTAGACCATTAAGCAGCCAATGGGACCCGTAAATCCAATGGCCAGCCCATGAATTCCAGCTTCGGCCAATGCTCCTTGTAACCGAAAGGTGGCGTTGAATGCGTGCTGCCGAAGAGTCCCAAATTAAGCTCATGAAACAGCTGTCCAGTACTTTCTTCTGGTATTTTCCAATAGTTCTTTAACCGATGTCAGCTCATTATGATGAGATCCTGTAACCAATTAAATTCCAGACACTAACGTATTGCCTCTTGACAGACCTTAGTAACGTGTAGTGGTTTCTAGCAGTGCTAACGCAAGTGGCGGTTTCCACCCTATTTGTGACTTGTCAGTCGGATGTACCTAGTTACTCCCAAATAGGTAATGATAATATTTGCAATGAGACTCAAACCCCTAGCCCCTGTCACTTAAAATGCAAAAATGATATATTCACAATCCCACTCGGTTCTGTTTCCCCTTTTGTCTTAGTTGGGATAATGTGACGCAAACGAATTGACACAGCTATCCAGACGCCTTTGATTTCCAATACTTCTCCATCTGTTACGAAATCCACTAAGAATTCATGTTCCGGTAATCTCTCTAGCTAACTCTGAAATCGAAAAGTCAAAATGGCTGAATTCATTGAAGATGTCTACTAAAAATATTCCCCAAAGCTGATCAGATTCTACATTTTTATTATCATAAATGTCGAGGATTGGGAAAGACTGATTGCCGATCTTTGACACTTCAAACTGCATATATTACAATTTGAGTGGAAGCAAATACATAGGTCGTACAGAAAGGCGATTGTCTACTCGCATGATTGAGCATTTGCCAAAGAGTGGTTGAAAATAGCTGAATTCAAAATACCCCCCCCCCTAAAAAAAGCTCCATAACAAAGCATCTTGTGAACTACGGACATGAAATCGACGCTGTCTAGTCACTGACTGTTGTAGTCAGCAGACAAAGAGACAGGAAGATGCTGGCAATTCTGAAGGAGGCTTGGTTAATTGGAGCTTATAAACCAGGTGTCTGTGTACAAAAGAAGGTGGTCGTCACTCTGAATTTACCATGATAATACGTTCTACTTATTAACTGCTATTATTAATGTTATTAACACTTTATTATACTTATCATTAGTATTATTCCTAATTCACTGAAAACTATCTTTTATCAGTAGCATTATATTAACTCGTTTCATTATTATTATTATTATTATTATAACAATTACTATTAATACTACTCAGTTCGCATTTCTTGAGATATTTAAGTTCTTTCTCTGATGAATAATTGTTTATCTATGATATAAGAATAGAACTTGTCCACTGTGGTAGGGGATAATTCCATTGTGAAGAAAATTTATTTTCAAGTGTTGGTTTGTAGGGATTTGATTGGTTATAGGATTTTCATCATGAGCTGACATCAGTTAGAGAACCATTGGAAAACCTGGGAGGGTGCAGCAGGTCGGGTGTGAGGACAAATACTCGCCACCGAAGACATTGGCTAGGGGTCGCACTATGTCGTGAATTGGCAGAAGTTAGAATTCATGGGATGGCCACTGGATCGGGTCCCAGTGACTTAATGGTGTACGAGCTCGCATTGTAACCAGAAGGTCCTGGGTTCGAATCCCGGTGGGTGCGTACTGCTGAAGAGTCCCAAACTAGGACGAAACAGCTGGCTGTCCAGTACTCCCACCTGGTTTTCCAATGGTTCTCTAACTAATGTCAGCTCATGATGAAAATTTACTTTGTTAAAGTCTTACACTGTGTTATACAGTAATATTTAGTGATAACGGTGTTTATAGCACAATTTATTGCTGCTCATAATCATATCAAGGTACTCACACAGCTTTCTAACTTCGTTTATATAATTCTATTATTTTTCATCGCATGACTTGATTGGTATAGTAGTAGTAGTAGTAGTAGTAGTATTTTCCACATTTGCGGTATGAGTGATGAGTCATTCCTACAGTACGTGTTGGGTGTAGACTCGATGAACCAGCCAGGATTCAGTAATCAACTTCTCTCCCTCCACTTGCATAGATTACTTCTTAGAATTTTGACTCTCTCCCACCACCCTATAGTGTAGTTGTGTGTGTTAATGCAAGCAGTGCAATGTAGTGCTGAGTTGGTTTTTCTAAATTAGTTAATATACGTGGGGTCAATCATTCTAACCTTAGCTAAATTCTTGTGTTCTGATATGGGCGATCTCACTACTCCCCATCTACTGGTCTGACTCAGTTATGTAGTTTACTTAACTCACAGTGATTGCAAGATATTTTGTAAATGATATTATGTTGTCTAATTGGGTCAACCTATGGTGTCTTTTAACCTACAGAGCTCAGGGCAAGCTCTGTAGCTTTTATCAACTTCTATTGCTTATTTTTAATTCGCATCAGGCAATAAATGCTTTCGATAGGTGATCACTGTTCACTAAAGTATCATCAGTAAGGTACAGAGAGAGAGAGAAAGAAAGAAATCACACAGAGTTTATAAATTTGCTGTGTGAACAGCAGGCCAGGAGTGTAGCAGTAGTGCTGCTCGGCTGCTCTTACACCCACGGTTTCAGTTGACTTAAGCAAAATGCTTTAGCCTCTCCTGTTTCATTTTTCGGTATCTAAGAGACCTTGGCTAATCTATTCTATATATCCGATGGATGATACAGAAAGATCCTTCAGCAGAATACAACCTATTTTAACGATAAGGTGATGTAAAAAATATAGAACTGTTGATGGTGTTTATCACGCATTTATTTAGCCATAAAATCACTGATAGGAATTTCCAGGCACGATAGATTAATTTCGTAGAACAGTAACCAATTACAACTGGCTTTACATTGGAGTAGTTGAGCTGATTAATTTTTAAAAAATGAATGTCTTGGCGAAGGCTTAGTTAAACCAATCAAGTATCAGTGTCATGTAGTCCGGGTTATAACTTAATGCTCAGTTATTCTACTACATAATTAGTTTATTATTATTATTATTGTTCCCTTGGGTTCCTAGTGGAACAAAGGGCTTCAACTGCACGTCTTCACTTGCTTCTGTCTTCTGCTGTACTTTTCACCTGCATCCATGTTAGTCCATACTGTTTCAACTCCTCTTCACATGATCTCCTCCATGTCACCCTTCGACGTCCCACTCACCACTTCCCTTTCGGGTTCCACTCGAGCGATGGCCTGACGCGCGATTGGTTCTTGTTTCGTTTGTTTGTTTGTACCCATAGTTTCTTGTTGGTGATACTTGTTCTTTCCAGCCATCTGATCTTCAGTATAGAGCGAAGACAGTTTTGCGTAATAAATGTCTACCTGATTAATAAATTATTTTTTTCAATTTTATGTCTTGTCTCCTCTGTGATATGTTTCTCAATAGAGGAAGGAGCTAGATCGTCTGTTCTCACCATTAATGAGTTCTACAAGAAATATGCTCAGAGATGTATGAGTCCTCCCTATGCATGCATATCCACCGAAGACACAATTGATGAGAGAAGAAAGAAATTGACACAAACTCTGGTTGATAATAACTATGCAGACAAGTTCGTGAAGAGATATAAAGTGGTCAGTAGAACACCAGGATCCACTCTAACTCACCACTAAGAAAGACGTATATATCAAGCTACCCTACCTATGGGTGACCATCGTAGCTTGGAAAGTCGACAGAGATTGAACGCTGCCGTGTTTAAAATGACTTTTTATGCAGTTAAGATCAAAATAAATGAGGATGTGAAGCCGATATATCTAATAATAATAATAATAGCTTTATTCCAAACAGTATTTGTGGTACAGGTATGGAATTTTCACAGCGTGCATTACAATATTGCATCTAATTACCTCATAAATTTCATAAGATTTTAAAAATAAAAAGCAACAACAACAAAAAGAAAAAAAGAAAAATAAAAGAAATAAAAAAGAACAGCATTGCATTCACATATTTAAACAATGCACCACAGGATATGAAATATAAAATTAGTGTGTAATAGAATATGTGAGCAACAATATAATAGTAACAAAGAAAGGAGAACAAAAGCTAAATGGGAACTATTTGTTTGTTAGAGTGCCGCAGTAAGTTGATCGTGTCAGAACTAACGGATTTCTCATCACATAATAGCAGCTGTGCCAGATAAGGTATTGTGGAGATTTTGTACTTGGTAGTCATAGCATATAGCCTCCTATAGCTGCTTCTATTTCTACCAGATGAAATGCAAGGAGAGAGCTGCGTATAGAGAGGATGCTCAGCGTCTGACAATATAGTATTCGCTAGTTTCTCTCATGACATTATATGTCTATCCACAATGGTGTTAACCAGTTGGTTTAACGAAATCCCACTTCCCCTGCAAACAGCTTTTAGTGCCATTCTCAGCAAAGTAAAGTCTTTCTTAAGTAGTCCAAGAGAGATTAATGGGGAGCAGTATAGAGGGATGGGTAGAATACAAGAGTTGACAAACTGAGAAAGCAAAGACTGCTTTATGCCAGACTGCCTTAACTATCTAACGTAGAAGGTTAAGCGAAAAACCTTTCTAGTAACTAGGAAGATGTGAGGGGACCAGGAAAGATCGGAGGAAATACTCAGTCCAAGGTACTAGACATTAGATGTAGTTTCAACCTCTATGCCGTCAATGATAGTGGGACCATGTGAGCTAGCTAGTTGTTGTAGATCACGTTTTCGTCTAACCAAGCCCTTAGAACATGCGAAAAGTGATGTCACATCCCACTGTGTTTACCAGTTTAAATGTACGTGTGAAGACGCATCGATCTCGGAATGTAAGGGCCGGCTTCAGAGCATATTCTAAACTCCTTCAAAA